TGAATAAAAATATATTTGAATTCTCTTGAGTTTACGAGTAACTTCTAAAGAAAATTGTGTATTCTAATCTCTTATCGCAACAAATGTATATCCAAATAATGTTATTGAATTTTTCCCTTTTAAATGTCAAGAATATTTTTCCAAGCATGTAAAAAACTACATAGTAAAGGCATCTTTTTTTCTGGTTGATGTACAAGAAAACAGAAATATATGCTTTTCTAGCATTCTTGCACATAAAATTTTCTTTCCTAAGATTTACGTCGAGCTAAGCTTATCTACAATATGTAATGGATAAGTTTACATTGAATGGGTGTCATGGCATTATAAGGTTATAAGTTCTATGCCTTATTTTATCAAAAAAGTGGAGCATAAATGAAAATTTGACTTCTTGTTGTTGTTCCTAATGTCACTTACCAACCAGCAAATATGAAGGTGAAACCAAGTGAACTTAATGAAGAGGGGGAGTTTCTTGTTTTTCAGTGGTGCCATCTAAGCTAAGAATACGACTTCCACCACACACACGTCACAGTCCGTTTATAGGGTGGACCCCATTCACGGACTTTCTTCCGCAGATCGCAATTTTGATCTGCACTATAAAATGACCAATTTCCAATTCAGTGCCCCCTAAAATTATGATTTATTATGGGGACATGGATTGCTTTGTGACCTGAATGATTTAACGTGCATTAGTCACCATTTACTGCACGGGGAGTCTTCAGCCGGCCGGGATTGAACTCACGACCTCTTAAACATGGGCCCAACGCCCAACCACCCACGCTATCCTATCCACGCTTCTTGAATAGTCTATTTTTTATTGCAAGCTTTAAGCATCTTTTAGCTCGTTAATTGAAAAGTATTATAATGAGCTAATAAGAAAATTTAAATGAAATTCATTGATGCCTTCTGTTAAAAAACACATTAAGTATATAAATCCAAATGTCAGTAAAGTTCGAACACAGTGTAATCGTCTAAAATACCCATGAAGTGAAATAAAGAAATTATATTTTAGTTTTGTACGCGCTGCAGTCTTTTCATCAGTGAATTTCATATTTAAAAACAAGGGCAGCAGAAAGGATTTTATAAATGGAAAATTAAAAATACATAAAATGTTTAGTTTTCTTTTAAATCAGTTATGACTACTGTTGATTCATCATCTGTTTATTCCATTGCTTTGCATAAAAAACGACTTGTCTTTTATGTCATATCGTTGTCATGTCTTTCTCTATATTTATATTTTGTCTGATACCACGCACTCTTTTTTTATTTATATTAATTCCTTTAAACGTGCTTTTAAAAAATTACTTATTTAAAACCAACGGTAATGGAATAGAAAAAAATATTCGTGTACTCAAAAGCAAAATTAATAGGAAAGTGGTACTAATTAGTTAGGAGAAACATAAAAAAATCGATGTCAATTAGGCTAAATGGAGTCAATGATGCTTAATTAAGATAATATATGCATACTGAAATAAAAAAAATTAGGCAGCAAAAGCAATGGAGTAAAGGTATTTATTTGAATGGAGGGATCGTAAAAAATCGGCATATTTTTACTAGCGACAATAGTGCTTAATTAATGTTGCTAATATGTATTAATTGAAATAAAAAAAGTAATTTCTGAACTAAAAAGCAAAAATAAGTAGAAAAGATACTTATTCGGGTTTTCGGTAACCGTAAAAAATCTGCATATTATTGACAGTAATGCTCAATTAATATTGATAATGTGCATTAATTGAAATTGTATATTAATTGAAATGGTGAGCTAAAAAGTCAAGCTCATGCAAGAAAGATTAATGAGAAAATCGTTTAAAAAACCCGTAAAAAATCGATTTCCCAGAAAACACTTAAATCATATATATCACTGACGGTAACATGTACTACTGGCATTATGGAGATTGGCGATTTGGTTTTGATAAGAATTCAACAACGAGTTTTCCGTAGTTTCAGATTTTTTTTTCCAGTGGTAGCTAAGATAGTGTGTTAATATTTTAATGAATTAGAATTAAAAGAACTTTTTTCCACCACTACTTATCAATATTTTAACTGTAAATTAAGGGTCAGATAGAGAAATGGTAATGCTCCAAAATCCTTATAAAGTTCTAATATTTTTTGCAAAAAAAAATTGCCTGCCACTGACAAATATGTATAAACTCAAATATTGAAGGGTTATGTAATAAGTAAAAAAAGATGATAATAAAGGTATAAAATATTGTATTTATATATTTGGTTATTATTAAAACTGCACCAATCAGTTTTAATACCGATACTTTGGAATTAAATATTTTACGGCCCCTCGAAAGGGATATGTAGCAGAGAAAAAGCACTTAATAGTGGTAAATATTAATTATCATGAATTGGCCGCGAGCAATAGCATCACACCAAGAGAAACGAAATACATTTTGTTTTTATTGAAATGTTATGAATTACAAACAGTGATCTTTTCTTTCTTCAATAACTTAAAGTCAAGGAAGATTATATCATAAAACATTAAATAAAGAAAAGGAATTATTTTAGCTATCTTAATAGAAAAACTTAGAGGAAGAACCTGGTAATTCACATTTTCAGAACGAAAAAAAAAACAGAAACAAATGTATCCGAATTACTTTATTGCCAATTTATTAGAAGGCGGAACTAATAATTATTTTATTTACCACTGCCTACAGGGATCCCTAACCCTATGCCCGCGGGCACCATGGCGCCCGTCGATCGGTCTAGTTGCGCCCGCTGCTTGTGCCCAAAGATAAATACAATATTTCAGTTTTCCATTTTCCCATAAAATGATGTGCAAAAATTAATGTGGTAAATTACTACAATTGTTACATGTAATGAAAATTATTACCGAAATATTTAACTTAATTCTAGCAGCTCCATTGCAACTTCGACTTTTCAAGGCACTGTTACAAAATCCTGATGATGTTGACTTCATTATGTAAATACTGAAGTACGCTGGCTCAGTAAAGGCAAAGTGCTTGATAGATTTATACATTTAATCGAAGAAATAAAAAATTATCTTGCAGCCGAAAATCAAATGTTTTTAGAACTAACAGCATCCTTTCTGGCTAGGAGATTTGTCTTTCGTAACAGACATAATTGAAAAAATAAGTAATTTAAACTTGGAGCTGCAGGGAAAAGGCAAACTTATAGCAAGAATGAGAAGGCTCGTTCAGAACAAAGTTAGTTTTCTGGATATCACATTTGAAAATAAAGTCTCTTTTGCATTTTCCAAACATGAAAAAAATGATAGGTGACAGTGAAGTCTTATTAACATTTGTCATCTTACCTCCAATTGCTTCAAGATCAATTTGAAAATAACTTTTAACAATTTAATATCATCGAGCCTATGGTCACCTTTTCTGTAAATCCTTTTACCATCAAATATGCGTAACCGAAATAGCAACATGCATTTCAGAATATCTTCAAGTAAGGCGAGAAGAAGTGGAGATAGAAATTTTGGATCTTCAAAATGACATTATCCTCAAAACGATTATACTAGATGAGAAATTCTGGAATATAGCTGACAGAAATAATTTTCCATTCTTAAAAAGAGCAACATATAAAATAAAGTAGGTTTGCGGTTTCACATACTTGTGGGAATCATTGTTTTCGACAATGAATTCAAAATATGGATCTCGATTTATAGGTGAACACCTTGACGATTGCTTGCAAGTAGGAATATCATCATGTTCTCCCAATTATGAAGCGATGGCCAGTGAAATGCAATGACAAAGATCACATTTACTTTATTTTATAAATAATTTTAATACTTCATATGTTTTGCAAGAAATTCAGTAATAATTTATTTTACACAAGAATATTAATGCTAATTACATTCATATGTTAAATTAATTTTTAAAATTAAATTTTGTGTGCGCTATATGTAGTGTTTGTATTATTACCTACTAGCCGCCTAAGGCGGTCAGCTGTCCGCCACGCTAAAGGTTTTAACAAAAATTTTTTTTAAAAACATAGCAGGAAATCTGAAGATTAGTGGACAATTAAAGTGTTCCCGTCCTGCAATTTTGTCTTCATATCCAGTTGAACAGCGACAAATATATCAAAGCGAAGCGTTCTATTTACATACCGAATATGTTGCCACATTTTTAATACAAAAGATAAACTTTTCTCCACTTTGATAAATGTAAACTAATGCTGTGAGACATTTTGTCTCTTGGTTCGTTTTTAAAGACTCCTCGATAAGGATGACCAAGGATTATTTCAATTATAGCTTATTTATTNTTCAATTGTAAGGTTCGCATTAGCATACATTTATAAGAGTGGAGAAAAGTATATGCATTTTTTAATAGTTTTTTTAATATGGCTCTTTGAAGACAAAAAAGCATAGATTTTCTTACAAAATGACTGATAGCTAAAAAACTAATCCAAATTCCTGAAAAAGAAAAAAAATACTTCTTCATTAATGTCAAAACAGAATTATGTGCCGAGTTTCGTGCCTGGGCGAGGCTTCTGGGGCGATATATTGTGATTACAGACACACACACAGCCGCGTTTATTATTATGTATAGATGTCTACCAACTATAAATTTATCTTGAAAAAATAAATGGTCCCCGCCATTCAACCGATATTCTGGTATTTGCTCTTAGGTACAAAAAGGTTGGGGACTCCTGGCCTATAATTTGAAATAAAAACCATGCAAGCATACTAAAAACTAACAAGAATAAATTATGTTAAGATAAACTTGATATCAAAAACAGTTCTGTTACATTAAACATAACCATATTGAAGCAACCACTTTATGATATTTTCTCTAATTCATTAATTCCCTTAAAAATGTCATTCACTTGGTTCTTCCATCAAGCTCTTTAATTGTGTCGGTATGTGGCTTTCAGTTTTGAGCTTGATTGGGTTGTGTTTTTCACTACTGATTTAGTGATTCGTTTTTTTTTTATTCACCCCGTTCGAACAACGGGTATTCAGCTTGTGTAATATAAAATTATGCGATATTTATGATTTTCACTATATTGTCGTAACTTATGTATTTCAGAGTATTGTCTCAGCAGAAACTATGCCTCTATGCGATTTAGGACTACCATCTTTCACCAATACAGGCATTTATAAGGTATGGCATTACTTGATTTCCTAATACAGATTTTATTTGAATGTGTTATCCTATGTTAAGGCTTATTTTCAGGTTAATACAAGACATGTTTTCGACAGTATAAGTTTATTTATATATTTAGCTAAAATGCACAAGGGCATTTTAACGATTTCTGCAAATAATAGTACTGAATTAGATACGGGGTAAACTATTATTGCTTTTGCTTGCTTCTCTTCCAATTTTTTATTTATTTACTGCAAATACTTCTTCCATTTGCATTTATGTGATATAACGTGATCGTACGAGAATATTGTTAGTCATGTACTTGTATACTAGTAGAGCAAATTGCATGAACAGGTTTAAAGAGAAAGGACATGGCAGATAGAGATAGGTCGTCCTTAATTAGTTTTATCGTTTTTAAATATCTGTAATAAGAAAACTGTTGTAAGTTTTTTTTTTATAAGACGACAATTTTGCAGCAAATTTATCCGAATTTATCTGATCTGAATTTTTTTCTCTCAGAGCTTTCAATTTCAATTCAATGATTTTCTGATGGATGACACTGCAGGTAGTAGAAACTGCAAATAAGAGAAGAATAATTAATAATGACATGAAAATATTTCGAAGTATGTTATTAATTATGATTGAATAACTACATATTCGAAATTCCACAATCCTCTGTTGTAATCGGAAGACAAAATTATTAAATGCAATGGAAAATAAACGAAAGTTTAAGCACCTTCTGTCGAAAACATTTTGAATTAAAATTAAAAAAGTATGGAATAAAAATTGTTGCATGAGTCGCTATTTTAAACCTTTAAAGTTTTCGTATTTAAATGGTTGAAAATTATATATATNACATATATATATATATATTTATATATATATCCGCTATTATAGTTATTTATTTATTTATTGTCATTCTATGCAACTTTAAAATCTACGTGAACTCACAGCAATCGCATGCACTTAGTTATTCGCAATAAAAGTTTGATATGCGTTTTTATTGAAGTTTCATGCATACAATTTTACGGTTTCTTTTAATCTGTAATTATTACTTCTTTGCACAAAATATTAACCATTTAAAGTCTAGCTAATGTAAGGAGTAACCAATTGACTTAAAACTTTATAAATTCACTGAAATCAAAAGTATGGCCAAAACAACTAGAATACGGTAAAATTTGCCGTGTTTCTGCCTCTATGGGAACACCAAAGCGGTGTTATTATGATAAAAGCATCAAAACAATTTATTTGCTTTTCAGTTTTGTACTTGTAAATAAATGCGTGGTAATTAGAACTCTAATTTTGAAAGTCAGTAACCGTTTCAGTAAACCGTTATCGTATCATATGAACTCTAATTTTGAAAGTCAGTAACCGTTTCAGTAAACCGTTATCGTATCATTTTCAGTAAACCGTTATCATATGAGCGAAAAAATTACTAAATGAGTAGTTTATATACCTTATATTTTGGTTTCATTAATCAGTCTTATGTTTTTTAACTGAAATGTCGTTACCATACCGTAAGGTACTTGTACCAGAATTTTAGCAAGCAGTAAATAAATGCATTGCTAGTAGCAACAATCGAATAAATAGCAATTAATAAAATTTTAGATGAATTGCATGCAAAATGTAAGTCCGATAAGCTAAATTTCTTCATCATTATCTTTAAAATTAAGAAGCAAATGATAAGACATAATAATTTTAAAACTGATTCATTTCGTTTTGTTTAATCTGAGTTTTGATAGCAGTTTATAACTCATACAGTGAAGTATGTCATGAACTTATCAAATGTTCCTTATCTAATGCTTAGCATTGATGAATCTTTACTCTTTTTGCACGATTGACAGTAAATCTTTTAGTGAAGGAGGAAGTATAATTAATGTAAATATTAAGATAAAAAAAATTTTTTTTTGAAAAAAAAACTTCCAAAAATACGAACACGTTTTTCTTATGTTCCTCATATTGTGATTTAAACTAAACAAAAACGTCGATATTATTAGATAAAAGCATTGTGCTGAAACTTGCCTCCTTCGATAACCCGTAGAGAAATATTCTGTGTATCTGACAGCTACTGTTTAGGAGTATGCCTCACGAAGACATAAACCTTCTAAATCCATTTACTTGAAGGACATAAGATAGGTTTAGTTTTTCTAAGAATCATAAGCGCGATAATAATAAGTGACAATGGCAAAGAAATTAATTCTGCGTAATTTGTGAAGCGGTATTATCCTGAACTAATGTAGATTATTTATCCACATGGAGTTAGTCTTGAAATTTTCTGTAAGAGTAAAAAAGATGTATTTAAAGCTTATTAAGTAAATATGAAATAAATTTGATTCTAAGTAATTATTTGCTGAAACATTTGGGGTTGAATAATGATAATTTAATGCATATTAAGTGCATTAAAATTTTAATTAAGAAGAAGGAAAACGAATGAAAAAATTACGCGAAGAATAAGAAAAGAAATTGCATTTTATTTAAAAAAAATTTGATGTAAGGAAGTATCAAATTAGTATGTTCGAAAGGAAAACAGAAAAAAGAACAAGAGGAATAAGCTTTCGATCAAACTGATAATCCTATCGAGTGCGGAAACTGAATGAAAATAATTCTGGTTAAATTATTGTAATGTAGAATGATAAAATTTCTGGTTAAAAAAAACAACACAATTCTAAATAATAAAACCTAAATACATAATATTTGAACCATTCTTTCGGAAATTTCTCCATTCATATGACAACGGTTGCCGAAAATTCCGTTTTTTTAAAACTACCGTTCTTACTACCACATAAAAAAATACAAAGCTGAATACTAAATTTAACAGAATAAATGCTTTTTATGACATGTATGGTATCATGATAAAATTGCAAAATGTCATAGACACTTCTAACTTTTATTACAGATTGATTATGAAACCATATTTTCCTGTTTATTTTACCAAAATCATAACAGTAGCGCTTTGGTAAAAATTACCAAGCTTTTTGGCGTTCCTGTAGAATTAGAAACAAGATAAACGTTACCATATTCTGGTTAGTTTTGATCGTACTTTTTTTCTTAGTGTAATAGTGACTTTCAAGACGATAAATCATTATATAGTCTTGTTGAAATTTCATAATAAAACAAGAAAAAGTAAAAATTGCAGATCGAAAATAAGTCTCCCTCGCTAAAATATTTGAGGTCGTTTTTTTCCATCAAAGTATAACTATCTGTATAAATAGAATTTTAGTGGCTGGGTGGCGTAGTTGGTTTGTCGTCGGCCTTCTGAGCCCAAGTCTGCGGGTTCGATCCCCGGCCCATACACCGGATTTTCGGGATGCAGAAAATCCTCAGCGGCCATGTCGTATGATTATGCGGCATGTAAAAGATTCCTAGAGTGCCTTATTGGCCCTTGGCATTTCCGGCAAAATTAAATTCCTAGTGCACTTTAGCATCCAAATAAAGTCTCGGTGCTGCCATCTAGGTCTGCTCATCGGCAAGACCGATTGTGCAGCTCATTGGAAATAAAAAAATATAAAAAGTAGAATTTCGGTTGAATCCTAAACTTTTGCTAAAAAGTGTTTAAACCGATTTCCAGGAAAACAAATTTCGTACTTTTGATGAAAATCTAATCATAAAAATTTGATTAACACATTACCTTCGTATCTAACATTTTATTTTTATTATTTTTTAAACCTAAGAGAAGGAATCATGTAAGCTAAATCAATTATGTAAACCTTTGTAAGGTTACACATTCTTTATGTGAATACGCTTCACTTCTAGTTTATCAAAAACATTGAACGCACTCGAACGCTGAATTATTTGAATATGTAAATACAAAATTAATGTTTGTATTATAATACTAAAATGTTCTAACTGGGTGTGGTGTTGATTTTTGGAAATGAACCGAATGTGAACTTTAGCTCACAGCTCGCATAGAGAAAAGCAGTAAGAATTAAATATTTGGTCAAATCAAAAGCAAAAATATACCTGAAGTTGATTACGAAACTGAGAGCATTAAATAAATTTTAATAAATTTATATAACACTTTCTCTTTGGAGCTTGTAAGAAAAAATGTGTGATAATCAGCATTGAATCTATCAAAAATCAAAACATGTAGATGATTTATATGAATAATGGTGAACAAAGAAAAACGAAGAACGAAACTAATAATAAACAGGATTGACTTTCTATGCAAGAGTGCTGTGCAAGGTAAAGATTGCTAAAGTTCTAGATTTTCAAATATTTTTCTTAATTTTTTTTCAAGTAAAATTTGAAAGTACGTTTTATTTCCTGCATATTCAATATTCTATGTACTCAAATTATCGAAGTAATTATTTAATTATTATATAAGATTTACACACTAAATGTTAAGTTCATTTTTATGGATATTAAAATATAAAAGATTTAAACAAATTCTAGTAAAAAAAATATTTTGAAGACGATTAACCTTCACGTGATTTACACTCTCAGAAAAAGACTTTTAATGCTGATTAATAAGTCAACGGTACCTATGGTTATTGCGAGCTATGAACGGAAACATATTATCAACGTAACCATAGATTTCATCATGGTCATTTTGAACCATAGGTCAATATTATGATTTAATTGTGAACCATAAGCCATAATATCCCGGTACCATATTATCATAGTCATAATTAGTCAGATTAAGTCATATTTCCATTCAAGTTAAATTATACTGTCATGTAATCAATAAACTTCAAGAAATATTGTTTTCGATTTAACTATAATATTTTAGAAAATATTATGATCAATTTTATGATGTTATGATTATAATTTAATTATGGTTGAAGTAAATTTAAACAATTCTATGTTACAACTTCCTAGATAAGAACTAATGTCACCGGGTGTTAAATACATTTAATCATAGCAGACGATGTGAAGCAATTATCATAGCACACACGTCTTCTTTTCCAGTTTCAAAAAATGAAAAGATTTATTTGTGAGGAATGGATTCTATTTTACACTGTTTTGGAATAACATTTAGAGACGCAAATCAAAATGATGTTGATTTCGTAACAAGATAT